AACCAAAATTCCTTAGACCCTCCATAATTACTTATATTAAAAATCCAAACTCTGTACCACCGCCAAGAGTCTATTCAGTCTGGCACCTGTCAACCTCGTCTTCTACCTCCTCTTCCTGGCTCTTGCTACGTCGCAAAAGCCTTCTCTCTGGCCGGGCGCGGTGGCTCACGCCTGTAATCCTAGCTCTCTGGGAGGCTGAGGCGGGCGGATTGTTTGAGCTCAGGAGTTCGAGACCAGCCTGAGCAAGAGCGAGACCCCGCCTCTACTAAAATTAGAAAGAAATTAATCGGCCAACTAAAAATATATATAGAAAAAATTAGCCGGGCATGGTGGCGCATGCCTGTAGTCCCAGCTACTCGGGAGGCTGAGGCAGAAGGATCACTTGAGCCCAGGAGTTTGAGGTTGCTGTGAGCTAGGCTGACGCCACGGCACTCACTCTAGCCCAGGCAAAAAGAGTGAGACTCTGTTTCAAAAAAAAAAAAAAGCCTTCTCTCTGTTCCTTGAACCAGCGTTGACAGTTTTCCCTAACTGTAATAATACTTTTCCTCTCACTTGTTAGTGGGTACCATTCAGCTTTCAGCCTGCTGTCAACTCCTCAAAAGGGCCTTCCAAGACTACCATCTACACCAGACCTATTTTTACTGTGTTACCAATTATCCTCACTTGAAGTCATCTTTTACATATTTATTGTCTGTTGCACACGCTAGACTGCAAGCTCCAGAAGGAGCTCTGTCTTTTTGTTTATGTCTGCCCAGGACCTTTGACGTTGCCTGGCACATAGTAGATATTCGGTAAGCATTTGTTGCATGAACTAATGGATGAGACAACATGTCAGCTACCCAGCTAAAACATGAGTTTCCAGTCAAGACTGGAGACTATCCTTTGAGGATGGATTATTAGCAGACCAACATAATATAGGAACTCAGTTACATCTATCAAACAAATGACCAACTTAACTGCCATAATTAATTTCTATTCATTCAAAAATGCTTCAAGAAAGATATGAATTTTGAGATTTGTCTCATATTATTGTTCATACATGCCAGTGCTTATACTTTTGTTTCAGGGCTTTGCACTTACTGTTCCCTCTGCCTGGACAGCTCTACCCCTGAAAAGCTACATGACTCAGTGCACACTTCATTCAGTCTCTTTTCAAATGTCACCTCTTTTCAGGGATGCCTTCCTGGACTAAAAGAGCACTCACCTCAGTCACTCTCCATTCCTTCACTCTACTCTATTTTCCAAGTAAATTTTATCAGGCATATTGATTTCTTATTTACTGTGCTTCTTCCTCTATTAGATCATAAGCTCCATGAGGGCAGGGACTTTGTGTTTTGTTCACTGCTATCTCCCTGGAACCTTACAACAGTGATGAGCACCTACTACATATCTGTTGTACTATTTACAAAAGCTAGATACCCTTGATGGATTTTTCCCACAAAAGCATTATCGTTCTTCATATTTATCCTGGTGAACTGACTGTGACAAACAGAAAGAGGTTGCGACAACTGATTCTAAAACCACACAGTAGAACGAAACCTAAAAAGACAAAGTTCAGGTGCTAGGGCAGGTCTGTTTTTAAGTGAGGGGAATATGCATGCTATATATAATCCCTGAAAGTTAAAACACTACACAGATTCTAGAATCTTAAAATTAGTTAAGGAACTAAGTATTTGTCAACAAATCCTTTTTATATCTCCTTAGTGATAAAGTCTATAAAACCAAATTGTGGCCATGCATAGTGATTCATGCCTGTAATCCTAGCACTTTGGGAGGCTGAGGCAGGAGGATCACTTGAGGCCAGTTTGAGACCAGCCTGGGAAACAGTGAGGAACCCCCCCAATCTCTACAAAAAAAATTTTTAAAAAATAAGCCAGGTTTGATGGCACACACCTGTAGTCCCAGCTACTCCAGAGGCTGAGACAGGGAGGATTGCTTGAGTCCAGGAGTTGTGAGGTTGCAGAAAGCTATGATGATGCCACTGTACTCTATCCCAGGCAAAAGAGTGAGACCTTGTCTCAAAAAAACAAAGAAAACCAAAACAACAACAAATTGTAAGCTTAGTCCTGATTTGAGAAAGTGTAACAAATCTGGGAATTTTAGAGAACTTTCCACAGGCATTCACAGTTATCAGCAAGATCAAGGTCTAATTGTTATCTTGTTTGACCACAGGCGAAGGTGATTTGACACTTTAGATTAGCCATATATAAACATAAAAGTGTTACTGATATAAAAAATACTCAAATTAGAAATGAAAAATTCATTTTATCGCCTTTAAATGAAGAGATGATATTTTCCTTTCTCCATAGAACTACCTTCGGGATAGTTCTCTACCAAAACACAATTAAAAAATAAAAAACATGTACCACAATACATCAATTATAATAGACTTATCTAAATTCCAAGTTCTTGTTAAATAAAATGGCTGGATCTAAGTCTAGCCTCTTCCCACAGGCCCTCAGTTATAGATGAAGATTTTTGGAATAAAAGCTTTGCTTTCAAAGGCCACCTCACAGACAGCTGTAACACCAGCTGATCCAGGATATGTGCCTTTTTCTTAGACATTTCCTCCACATTAGAGAACATTCCTGAGACCTTACATCTCAGGGAAAGAAATCCAATGAATGAAAACTATGTGGCACCCACACATCAAGAACCTACCCCCTGCTAGATACAACCTAGGAAAAGAAACAAAAAAGGAACCTACCCCAACATCTCACACATCAAGAACATACCCCAACACCTCAAACCACCTTCTGCTTTCTAATCACAGCAATACACCACTTAGAATCAAACCCAAACTCCTTTTATTGCCAACGATGTCCTATATGACCTGGTCCCTGGCTAATTCTCCCTTCTTCACACAGCAGTTTAGGAACCTGAATGGTCCTCAAATATTCCAGTATTTCAAGCCTGTTCCTGTCTTTGAGCCTTTGCATTATTTCCTCTGCCTGGAATATTCTGTCCCCTCACCTTTTCATGGCTGGTTTCTGCACAAATGTCACCTCCTCAGAGAAGTCTTCTTTGCCTGTCACATCATTCTGTCACTTGTCACTGTCTGAAATTATCTAATTAATCTAGTTGTGTTCTTGTTGCTTTCACCCACTGGAATACATGCTCCTCAAGGGAAGGAACCTTGTTCATTTTTGTTTCTTCACTGTATTCCTGGAGTGCAACTGGATGCTCAATGTTGTTAAACGAATAAAGAAACAAATTAGTTTCAAAACTAGAGCACTGCTCTCACACCCATCCAATCCTGTATAGAAAATGGTTTCCCTCTATCTCAGACCTCAACTAGCAGAAACCAAAGTAACAAGAAGGTGAGAGAGAATTCCCTTGCATTGATGGCAAGAAGTGAAAGATAAAGTGTTGCCAGCGCAGTGGTTCGTTCATACCTGTAATCTTAGCACTTTGGGAGGCTGAAATAGGAGAATCACTTGAGGCCAGGCATCAGCAACACAGCTAGACCCTGTCTCCATAAAAAATAATTAGCTGGGTGTGGTGGTGCACCCTTGTAGTTCCAGCTACTCAGGAGGCTGAGGCAGGAGGACTCGGTGAGCCCAGGAACTCAAGATTACAGGTTATAGTGAGCTATGATTGGGCCACTGCACTCTAAACTGGGCAACAGAGAGCCAGTCTCTTAAAAAACAAACAAACAAACAAAGGCTAAAGAACCCAAGGCGGAATCCTCTTCTGTGCCTCCAAGCCAGAGTACCTGTGCATCTACCACGAAGCAAGCACATGTGTGTGGCACCCCTGGTGGGCCACCAGGGACACAGAATTCAGGACGGACAAGGTCCTTGCCCTCAAAGAGCTTACATCCTAACGGCTGAGAAAGGCAATAAACAAGTAAACAATAAGTAATTTTATATGCTATGAAGTCAATCAAATTAGCTGATGTTGGTGAAGAGTTGAGGGAAAAACGTCCTTAGCGAGGTTCGGTCAGGGGCGGCATAAGGTGAGGAAAACTTGGAGGTAGCCAGTCTTGCAAGGATCTGATGTTAGTAATTTCCGAGCAAACAAATGAGACTGGAATATTTAAGGAACAAAAAAGGTCAGGAAAGTATAACTAAGGTGTCTAAGGAACAGAAATATGTGTGGACAATGGTCAGCTCAGGTGGAACCTTTGTAAATCACGGTAAATCACTTAACGGTTCCTCAAAGCCACTTTACGAAGTAGATTACATTATTAACCCCATTTTGCAGCTAAGGAAACAGAGGCTCGGAGAGATTAAGCGACCAATCCTAAATTACACTCTTAAGAGTCTGAGCTGGAATGAACCCAGGTGCTCTCGCTCCGAAACACCGTAGCTTAGCGTGTCCTCAGAAACAGGGGAACTCCCACGTTACTGGGCATTTATTATGTCTCAGACGCAGGGACTAGAATTTAACCCTCATAATTCAGCAAAGGGAGATCATGGTGCCCATTTTACAGTCAGGGAGACTGAAGCACAGAGAGATTAGAGAAGTGTGAGTTCAGGAGCCTAACCAGCCTCTGGGGAAACAGGCGATCGCGAGGCAGCGGGCGGCCGCACACAGCCCGCAGCCCTGGCCGGGACAGGCCCCGCTGCCGCACACCCTGCTCACGCTGCGGGCGGCCCCGGGCGCAGAGAACGGACGCGTGGGCGCCACCAATGAGGAGCGGCCGTCCCGAGCGGCGAAGCGGCGGCGCAGCCAATCAGCTCGGCGCTGGAAGGGAAGGGGCGGGTGCTCACGCCGCTCGAGTTAGGCCGCGTCTCTGCCGCCCTCGCCCATCACAGGCCCCGGGGCCGCCGGGCCTGGGCCGGAGACCTAGGACGCCACGGGGTGCGCCAAGCCCGGTCTGCGGAGGCGAAGACCTTGCCTGAGTGCACCGCCCGAGGCACAGGCCCACACTCCGCCCTCTCTCAGAAGCGGGGTCCTCGCTTCCTAGCGCTCGGAAGTGCCGGGAGCGCCTCTATCCCTTCATCAGCGGGACCCCAAAAGCAACCCTGCTAGGCCGTGAACGCCCCGCGCCTCACCTCGTGGGGATACGGGAACGGAGGAGAGACTCCCAGCCGTGGACTGTAGCCGGCACTGCCCGCTCCCGCAGCCGCTCCGCCTCACATTCAAACTCCGGCAAAATGGCGCGGCAGCGAGGCAGCGGCCGGAGCGCATGCGCGACCGGAGCAGAGGCAGGGGGCGGAGCCAGGAACGCCTGGCCCCACCCAGGCTCCAAGGGCCAATCGGAACCCCGCTCTGTTTTTGCGCTGGCGTAAGTGACCATGTCCTTAGGTTCCGACCATTCCCAGCGGCTTCGCAATGCCCATTTTGCTGAGAGGAACGCAGATTCAGCGAGTGGCTGCTGGTCGGTACCTATCTGGATGTCAGGGCTTGGCACGTAGTGGGTCTTAAATATTGAACTAACTGTCCAAAGTCACGCACACGGCGTCTCAGACGGAAGAGAACTTCCCGTTCCTCATGGAGTTTCTGTTTTAGAGGGAGACATGGAATAAACAAATGAGTAAGAATTTCTCATCTTGGTAAGTGCATGAGAAGAGAATATACAACAGGATGATATGGCGAGCAGTAACTTGGAAGGTAAATGGGATGCCCCAGGGAGGCCTCGGAACGGGTGACAGTGGACCTGAATTTTAGCCAGGACACAGCTGAGTGAAAGGTCAGCCTGGCGAGCATTCCAGGAAGTGAGGATGGCACTGGCAAAGGCTCTGAGGCAAGAATGAGCAATGCTGGGGCTTAGCGAAATAGAGGGTGGCAGGAGATGAAGTTAAGCCAGCTGAATATTGCCTTGGAAATCCACTCCCGCCTCCCCCCACACCACCACTTACACACGCGCTTGGGGTTTGCTACAGCTCCTAACAGACTGTGTTGGAAACGAAAGAAAAGCAGGAAACGCTCATTCAAGTAGTTTCCTTTCTTTCCAAACCCTGATAAACAATCTGTCTAATGTGTGGAAAGACATGCCGAAAAGACACCTTATCTATGGTGCGCACAACAAGAGAAAAGTAACTTTACGTTTTATTTGGATTCAGGAGGGTGTGGACATATCTGGTTGTGCTTGGAAAGAACGAGTCTTCTCTTGGCTCAATCTCACTTTTAAGGCCCAACTGAGATGCAAAAGAGTGTTAGTAGCTAAAAATTGAGAAGTATCTGCTGGCTCTTACCTTTTTTTTTAAAGTGGAGGCACTTTTCTTTTAAAATATATGTGCACATGATGTGAAAATCCACACAATACAAAACAGTAAAACACTTGGTCTTTCACTAATTAGGTGAGCTTTAGGTGATATATTATTTATGTCTTCTATTTCCTTACTTAAAGTTTTCTCTATTTTTTTTTTTTTCTTGGAGACAGTCTCCCTTTGTCATCCTGGGTAGAGTGCAGTGCAGTGGCATCATTATAGCTCACAGCAACCTCAAACTCCTTGGCTCAGGCGATCCTCTTGCCTCAACTTCCTGAGTACCTGGGACTACAGGCGTGCCACCATGCCTGGCTAATTTTTCTATTTTTTGTAGAGACGGGGTCTTGGTCTTGCTCAGGCTGGTGTCCGACTCCTGAGCTCAAGCGATCCTCCTGCCTCTGCTTCCCAGAGTGCTAGGATTACAGGCGTGAGCCACCACACCCAGCCTTAAAATTTTGTCTTATGTTCTCTTCAGTCTGCCTTTGGTTTTTATTTTGAAGCTATGTTATTAGGTAGATAAAGGTTTGTGTTATTTCTTCTTGATGAAGTTTGCCACTTGACAAAAAGAAATACTTCATTGGCCCTTTCAAAGCTTTCCTCTTCCAATTCTGTCTTGTCTTATATTAGTAATGTTGGGCCTGCTTTCTTTTGGTTAAGAATTTCCTGGCATACCTTTTATCATCCTTTTATTGTCATTCTTCTTTTATATTTGTGTATTATATTAGTTAAGAATGTGGACTTGAGTCAGACTACCCAGGTTAAGATCCTGACACCATCTGTGTGAGGCTGGGCAAGTACTTATAATTTATTAGCTGCCTGATCTCTAAGATAGGGATAGTAATAGTAACTTGTCTCTTAGGATGGTTGTGAGGATTAAAGAGCCAATATATATGAAGCCCATAAAATAGCACCTGGGATGTAGCAAGTGGCCAAGAAGATAGGCTGTTACGGCCATTTTGTGGCTGGGTAGAAGTGTATTTTTGCTGTCTTCCCATCTCTCCCAGTCCTCCATTTTGCCCTAGGTGGTACTGCCTTAGACCCTAGACCTGGGCTGTGCGCCTGCTTTAGATGGCTCCTTTAGATGGCTCCGCTCCCGCCCTCCTCCAGCTGCTAACTCCCTCAGGGTAAGAGCCCATGGGCCGAGTGGGTGTGCTCACCCACAGCTTGTGCCACCGCCTTTCAGACCACGTTCCAGTCGCACAGGGCCCTGGAATTCCCCACCCCTGCTCTGTGGAGAACCCTTGCCTGGGTCACTTCTTCAAAGGACGAGCTGCACAGCAGCTTGTGAGCACCCCTAAGCTGGAAGGGTAAGTAGTGGGCAGATGGGTGTTTGCAGGGGCTTTGGCCAGAGCTGGGTTCCATGTGCACATGCAAGGCCTTGCGGTGCAGGCCAAAGCTTGAGGTGGCGGAGAGGGTGCAGATAGTAGGCCAATTCCTACCCCTCCAGCTTTTCGATATTTACATTCATAGCATGTGAGCCTACATTTGTATTTCTCCCCCAGGGCCTGCAAAGTGCTTAGTGCGCTCTGTCCATGGGGGCCAGGTCCCCACATTTCCATCTGTCCATCTGCTCTCCAGCACATCAGAGCAGCCTTTCCCTCCTGTGAGGTTTTCTCTGGGGTGAGACCGCAGGTGTATCGAGTTGCAATGGAAGAGTGGGTTGGGAGTGGGAAGTGGCGTGTGGCAGCGTCTGAGGCAGGCTCTAGAGCAGGCTGCAGGGCCATGGGGCTCCAGACCCTTAGGCAAGTTTGTTGACCTCTCTGAGCCCCAGGTGCCCCTCTATAAAAAGGAGGGATGATGCTTAAATTGTGTTCCAGTCTGTTGGCAGGGTACAAATGCAGTATAGTTTTAAAATTACCTTTACAAATGCCTAAATAAGTGGCACCTTAAATATGGTTGTTCTGGCCCTTCCTCAATCAGTGATCCCAGCATCTTCTTCAAAAAATGGGGAAGCAGAAGTGTTTTTTTTTTTGAGACAAAGGCTCCCTCTGTCACCTGGCTAGAGTGCAGTGGCATCACCACAGCTCACTGTAACCTAAAACTCCTGGGCTCAAGCGATTCTCCTGCCTCAGGCTCCCAAATAGTTGAGACTACAGGAGCTTGCCACCATGCCTGGCTAATTTTTTCTACTTTTTGCAGAGATGGGGTCTTTTTCAGGCCTCAAGCAATCCTCCTGTCTCGGCCTCCCAGAGTGCTAGCATTATAGGCATGAGCCACCATGGCCCACCTGTTTTTTTAAAAATTAATAGGAAGGCCAAAGAAAGCTGGAAATTACCTGCCACAAATTGACTTTTGGGCCCTACACTACCATGCTGAAAGATACTTGTGAGAGGAAGGAAGTCACTTTAGTTCAGAGTTTCTCAGCCTTAGCACCATTAACATTTGGGGCTGGGTAAATTCCTTGTCATGGCAGCCATTTAGCAGCATCCCTGGCTTCTACCCACCAGATGCCAGTTACTGTTGCTGCTCCCCCCCCGCCACCAGCTGAGACAACCAGAAACATCTCCAGACATTGTCACATGTCCCCTCTGTCACCTGGGGACAAAACTGAAAACCACTGGTTGGCAGCAGGTTGAAAAACACTGTTCTAGATACAACCCAGGCCTATCTGCTCAGAAGAGATAAAGACTCTTTAGAAGCCTTTTCCAAAAGAAAGGGCTGTTTTTTTGTTCTTTACTGGGTGTACCTGAAATTTAGTACCACATAGTAATTCATTGGAGTAAAATTTAGCAGTTTTACTCCAGTTAATAAAGATGAGAATGTATTTAGCCAATTTTAGCGGTGTAATGTTTTAAGTATAATAATGGTTTACAACTTTAGCATATTTCAGAAAGAATGGATTCTGAATTCAGAGGTGGTAAACCCAAGCCTGGGTTTTCCTGTCCTGATTGGTGAGCACCCCACATGAACCTTTAGAATTGCTCCCCACTCAGTGCCCAGTTGGCCACCCTGCCAGTCTTGCCCTTAATGCCGTGACAATAGATTTCTGTCTTTTGGTGAACTAACCATTGGTCAAATTAATAAGTTAAAGTGGGGCCAGGCGTGGTGGCTCACGCCTGTAATCCTAGCACTCCGGGATGCCGAGGCAGGAGGATCGCTTGGGCTCAGGGGTTCAAGACCAGCCTGAGCAAGAATGAGACCCTGTCTCTATGAAAAATAGAAAAATTAGCCAGGTGTTGTGGCACACCTGTAGTCCCAGCTACTCGGGAGGCTGAGGCAGGACGATCACTTGAGCCCCCGAGTTGGAGGTGGCAGTGAGCTATGATGACGCCACTGCACTCTACCCAGGGTGACAGAGCAAGACTCTGTCTCAAAAAAAAAAAAAAAAAGTCAAAAGTGTATGCAAGAGTTATATAATAATCTTCTCATGACTGGATTTTTTTCCCCTTCCTGGGAGGACATATAAAAATTAAGACTCACAATTAATGTTCTCCCATTAATAATTCTATTTAATACAGAGGCCAAATTTTACCACCAATTGAAAACTACAAGCTTCTATCTGCCTTAAGAACAAACTCAAAGCCAATAATACATATGGCTTGATATACATTTTTTTAATTACTACATTAAAAACAGCTATACTTTTTAAAACTTTATTGATTTACCACCTGATCAAAGCATGGGATATTTTAACAGTATTATACATAATATTTTTACATAGAAAAATTTACATAGCATTTCATATTATATAATTCTGCTTATTCTTTCAAAAATGTATACATCCATTGGGCAAGGAATGCTTTTCATTAAATTACTAATATTAAATGCACTTAATCATTGTGTATAGATTAAACCAAAGTAACTATTAACTAACTTCTAGGCATTTTATGGAGGTAAAACATACATTTTGCACATAAAGAAATATTTTATGCAAATATGAAGATAAAATTTTTTAAAAATTAGAACACTGAGAAAAACTACACCTTTGATAAAGAGTGTTTTGTTTCTTTTTGTTTTTGGAGAGCAAAGACTTCCAGATATATTCATTCTTTAAAATATTCAGCTTTGGTTTCTTTGTTTCCCAAATTGCAAAGCTGCTAATAACAAATCTCTAGGATTTCACGTAAGTTCGAGCTATGTCTACTTTAACACAAATATTAAAACAGAATTCAGAAATGTAGTATTAAGGATCCAGCTTCTATTGAAACCAATATCCATTTGCATCATAACAACAAACATTTGAATGAGATCATCCTACTTTCACTTGTCAGCAGGTTCCTTTAATAACTATAAAGACTACTCAATGTATAGCCATAATCACAAAAGAACAAAAAAAGTTTAGTTTTTTTTGCATTTTGTACAAAAGTCACCTGTCAGAGGAAAATGTTGTGTTTCCAGATATTATTATACAATTTTCACAATGTATGTTCTTTGGTTATATGTGAGAAGTACAGGGAAAAGGTGTATTTGACTGTAAAGATGCATATTAGAAATAAAATTTCCCATCCATGGTTTGTTGTTAAGATGCCAGAGCTGGTGATTTCCCTAACAGACAATGAAGAAAAAATTGCTCAAAGTAGTAGTATTACAACAAATAAAAACTTCTCTAGAGACCCAGAACATATAATCAACACTTAAAGCATTCTGAAAAAGAAATAAGGCCTTGGAAAATGCTTCACTCTCCTCCATAACTCTGTTCAATGAATGGTGTCCTGGCTCGATGTTGCGGAGTCGCACACACCCTTTTCACTTGCGTTTGAGTGGCACAAGCCACATTTACCATGAGAAAGAACAGATTTATTCACAAAAAAGAATTTAGGCGGAATGGCTTATTACTGGAAAAATTTCCTCTGTTCGTCACTGTCTGCTGACAAGAAGAATTACCCTGAATGGTTTTATATCCAGTTTTTTAAAAGTCCATTGCTGGTACAATTAAAATGCCTCATTCAGAAAATTAAATCTTTGAAAAGACAAAATTAAGAAATTCAAGCCTGAATGTTTCAGCAAGTAATAAAATGTACTGACACATTCCCTACCCTGCAAGAGGCAAAAATTAAAGAGACGGCAAGAATACACTCAAAAAATCTTGTAGTCACATTTGATGAAGAAAATGCCATATGAGAACATCAGAGGGAAAGGAAAAATCACTTAATCAGGGATATAGCTGTATGCAAGATGTACTTAATGAATGGACATGCATATTCCCCATTTATACCTTTAGTACAAAAATCAATGGAGAGAGATGACTGACTTTTTGAGGTTGTGATAAACTATGATACTAGGGAAAGCAGGTTTCCCGGTGCAGTGTAAAGATGTAACGGATTCCAGGACAAGTTAAGTCCAATGTGCTAACGTTTGCCATTCACAAATATTCTCCCATAGTTCTTTCCTGCTAAATTATATAGCTCCTCTTATCCAATGTATGTAAATAATGTAAAAACTTAAACCTGCTTTTTTTTTCTTTGGTAGAGAAATTAAAATACTTTTTGGGAAAGAAAAAAGTAGACAAGAGTTCTGCTGGCTAAAACCAAACGTTTCTCAAGGCTGTTAAAAACAAAAACAAAACAAACATAAGAAATTGGTCTCTTAGCAAGCAAAAGCACCAGAAATCCTTCTCTAGAAAGAAAAAATATCCGATCTTACTTACAGATAGGTTCCCAAACTACTAACTTCTAAGGCACCAGAGTTGACATCAATACAACCCAATTTACAGGACTAAAGAGTGTAGGTAGAAGTCTGAATGTTTCAATCACTCTGTGTAACACTTCTAACGCTCCGTCTGCTCTGGGCAAGCAGCGGATGAGGGCAGAGGATGATGTATGTGTTCTCTTTCTCATGGACTCAGAATAAATTAAGCTTCCAAATACACTGCTTGCAGGCTTCGGGCTGTACTTGCATACTGCCCACTTTTACACAAGCTGCATCAGAATTCAGTTCTACTGCAGTTTAGAGTATTGCACCATCATTAACATAATAAGGACCTCAGAATCTAACCCTGCCAAAGAATTCAGCTCCTAGGCTCAAATGAACAGACATGCTGGGCACACGCCATCTCCTTGCCGTTGTCACAGTTCAGCTGTGCTGGCCCCAGGACAGCGCTGGTTCCATGCAGGACATCTGGCTGAGGAAGTTCACAGGAGCAGGTCTTCTCATGCACAGTTACTGTCCCTACCTCCAGGGCCCTGTAATGGGGACTGTGCAAAGCAGCGCTACTAACCATCAGTACACTCTTCTGAGGTAAAAATAAAAAGGTTTACTCAAAGATAAATGAACTCTGGTTAAATTACTACTTCATTTTTACTACTACTTCATATATTAGATTTCAGAGTATGTGAGATGGACAATGTATTCTGGAAATTTTAATTTAATACCCATCCACAAATACTTACTTCAAGGAAGGCTAATCATCTTCATTAAATTGTTTACTTTTTCCTATAGACTTGTCCTCCCCAAGTCACTAAAACAGGGAGCGCCACAGGGCACTACATTTGTTTTTAACCTTGTGAGCTCTAAATTCTAACTTAATTACTAAACTCTGCCTTCAATCAAATCTTCAATAATATCTTTTTGTAAAATACTTTAAAAATCACTTGGACATTAACAAAACACAGAAAACAACGCTTCCTTTCCCTACCTTTCCCCAAACTAATCTAACTACCACTGACTCATAACTGACAAAAACACTCAAACTTCTCTAACACACTCAAACAACAACAAAAAACCCCAGCATATTTTAGATGGCAGTTAGCCGTTTTAAGAAATTTTATTAACATACTCTCTAATAATCACGAACCTATACAACTATGTTCAGGATTTTCAAGGAGAGTGACTTCTTCTGACAAAACATTTATAGCCAATCATGGGACTTTGCTAGAAAATGATGACATTTGCAATGACAGATTTGACAGTTTAATCAGTAAAATGGAATGACAGAGATGAAGAAAAAAGTAGACGAGAGTTCTGCTGGCCAAAACCAAACATTTCTCAAGGCTGTGTTAACTGGGTACGCAACAGTTTAATAAAATACCACAAGCCTTAGTCGGGGACTGTGATGGGACCAGCATAGAGGCCATCCTTATCCCGGCCATTCTGAGATCCAAGATGCCTACTCTTTGTTTCTATGACCCTTCCCAAGATGTGCCAGTCAGAGATGGCATGATGAACATTCTGCAGAGCTGCAGCAGTGGCCCAGAGGGGCCAGGGCTACCATATTGAAGACTGTGTTGCTGGTACCTGCGATGGCTCTTCTGGAATCCATATCTTATACACAACACCTATCCGGAGGAAGAACTTCCGCAGAACTGCTCGGAGCTCAGGGATCAAGTCAAACTGCATAATCTCACACAAGTAGGGGTAGTACGTTGAAGCATGTGCTTTGAACTTGAGGTGGGAGAGAAGCAGAGAGAGAAAATTAGACACGGAACTATTCTTTTGCACCAGTTTTTTAAGAGTGTTCATCTCACCCTGGAGCTTCTTTTTCTTGCTATTAGAAAATTAATAAAAAAAACTTGCAAATTAAAACTTCTTTTAATTATATTTAACTTCTTTTCATTATATTTGGATAGTCTTGCTACCCAAAGTCAATAGCTCTTTCATTTTGTAAAGCAAGTTCCTAGGTCTAAACCTAGTGCTTCACAATCTTAACCCTCTTGTCCCGCATTGAAAATGACCATACTCTTCCTAAAAGCAACACACTGGTTTAAACTTCAGCCTTTCTCAACTGAGGTTCTTCTAGAAAAAAAGCCTAATATCCCAAGGCATCCATTGTTTGTAATGAATTAACTTATCTCCAGTGCATCTAGAATGGTGCTAGTCATGGAACCATCCTTGGCAGAATTGAGAAAAGTTACTTTAAACTCTGAGTGAAAAGCCAACCCAAACCTTATGTCCTAGAGGAGACATCAGAGTTTACTTGTTTATACCTTTTCATCATTTATTTTGAGGGTTTTAGTTAGAAGTAACAACAGGAGACTTGTCCAGGCCTCCCGATGGCTTTCAGAATTCACCGTGATGAAATAGGCAAGAGCTTCACTGCACACACTAGAAGAATTAGAGAGGGGGAGGCACATCAAACAACTGAGTAACATCTCACATGCAGGGGAGAACTACTTTTTCTTGCAATGAGCATTTATTGAGCACCTGCTCTGGCTGTGCTATCTTGGGCAAATCACTTAGCCTCACTTTCTCCAGCTATAAAATGGAGATAAATAACTGTACTAAACTCAAGGGATTGTTGTAAAGATTAAATAAGTATGATAAAGATAGCTCAGGCCTGGCATATGGCTAGGGCTGGGCTCAATCAATGTCTGCAGCACAATTAGCACAAGAGCTTTTTATTCACAGTTAATTATATAACTGCTGTTCTTGCAAGAGTAGGAGGCTGAAGCAGTGGGAGGCTGAAAAGGGAGGATTGCTTTAGGCTAGGAGTTCAAGACTAGACTGGGTAACATTGTGGAGACACTGTCTCTACCAAAAAAAAGAAAAAGAAAAGAAAGAAAAAAATTAGCTGGGCATGGTGGCATGTCCCAGCTACTTGGGAAGCTAAGGCAGGAGGATTGCTTGAGCCTAAGGAGTTCGAGGCTTCAGTGAGCTATGATCATGCCACTGCACTCCAGCCTGGGTGACAGAGTAAGACCTGTCTCTTAAAAAAAAACAAAAAACAAAAAACAAAATCTACTGTTCTTTCCTTGTAATCACAAATAATTACTTTTTAAAAAACATGTTATGCCAAAAACTTGACATTTATATATCTCCTTTAGAGAAACTTTATGAGACTATGTAGGTAATTCTCTGTTGGGCCTAAGTTGAAATGAGCCATTGGTGTTCCCTTTAATTAATGTAACATAGTGAGATCCTGTCTGTAGGGAAAAAAACAACAACAAAGAACACACAAAAAAACATTGCTTAAAATCACAATAGTTTTGCATCTTCCCCCCTTTTTGGTGAAATTTATTATAAGCATGTTCCTGTGTGAAGGAAAATGATCTTTTAAAAACTTCATTTTTTTTTTTTTGAGACAGAGTCTCACTGTGTTGCTTGGGCTAGAGTGCCGTGGCGTCATCCTCGCTCACAGCAACCTCCAACTCCTGGGCTCAAGCGATCCTCCTGCCTCAGCCTCCCGAGTAGCTGGGACTACAGGCATGTGCCACCATGCCCGGCTAATTTTTTCCATATATTTTTAGTTGTCCAGCTAATTTCTTTCTATTTTTTTAGTAGAGACAGGGTCTCGCTCTTGCTCAGGCTGGTCTCAAACTCCTGAGCTCAAACGATCCATCTGCCTCGGCCTCCCAGAGTGCTAGGATTACAGGCGTGAGCCACCGCGCCCGGCCTAAAAACTTCATTTTTGAAGGCTGTAAATATTCAATCATATATACCATAATTTAGGACATACCATAATTTAGTTATCCATTCCACAGTTGAGCTGTTTATAATTATTTCTCCCCGTAAGTCTGCACATGAATAGTCTGTGTGGGAGTCCTGGTTCCTATTTCTAAAATATTTCCTGAAGTAGATTCCATAACAGTGGAATTACTGAGTCAAAGAAAACAAACACTTTAGGGTTCCTGAAAGAAAGATCTCTGTTCTAGAAAGGTCATGTCACTGTACACTCCAACCAGTCGTGCAGGAGAATGTGTGTCTTACCACATGGTGGTTGCCAGCACTGTGGGATGCTGTTTTTAGATCTTAAAAGGAAGCTTAGACATCAGCATATTGCTGGATGCCCAGGAAGCTGGGTAGCCAAGACCCCCTATTCTGGCTGGGCTATCTCACTGGTGTCCCACTGTCTCCCTGCCGGTCTCCCTGCATTTCTGTGTAACTGACATGGGCACATGCTGGTATCTATATGATTCTAATATATTCTTGGAAAGAAGGAAAGATGGGATGTTAGAGCTAAAAGTAACTCTAAAGAGGACCTTGTTCCAAGAGGAACAGTGACCTGCCCAAGGCCGCAGGTCTTTAACCAGAGTCAGGACTTCACTCCAGCGTGCTGACTCTGAGGTCGGAGTGCTTTTCACTGCCCATGTTTTTGTGCCTTAAGGAGGGCTTATGCGTGAAGCAGATGAGGCCCTGCCCTTTTCAGGGCATTAAGAAAAGTGTAATGGAAAAATCATTAAATAAAAGGAAAAAATAAAAAGGAAAACAAGATGTCAGCATGTAGGCATTTTTCTCCTTTTTTCAGTATTATGATGCATTTTGTATATGACAGATATGAAATTTAATTAGAAATCAATCTTACGTTAAAAGGCGCTGCTGTATTTCTTCCCAGGAATCCCTGCGGTTCTCATCGACATACATTCGGAACAGGATCCTCAAACAACAGGCCAGGCTGCTGGTTTCTTGTTTTAGAAGATTGGGTTTAGATTTGCCCTTAAAACCTACAGATCAGATAGTCACATAAATAGCACACATTTCTAGGATAATGCTGAGAAACTGTGTGGGAACTAGTAATCTAGTTAGTTTTGGAAATACTGAAAAATCTCATGTTCTTAATACAACTCAATTGTAATATCTGATGAAGGCAGTCATGACTCTTCCAAAAGTTATCCTCTGTATAAGATATACTTCATTCCTCAGTGACCCGAACTGTTCTCCATTTAGACTTTGCTCATAAGCTGGTGAAACCATTAGTTTCATCTCCTCAAATGTAACAGCTCTTAAGAATTCTAGTATTTTCTTTTTTTTCCCCTGAGTTGCACTGAAGGACTATCTAGCATTTTTCTAAGTTGCAAGACCTTTTCTCTACAAAACACATACAAGAACACACGTTCTTAAAACAAAGCAGTATTAATTAGCTAAGGAGATGTGTAAACCACTCTTATAAGCAAAACCTTATTATAGGCAAAGACATAAAATATCTGGATATTTTAAAGCCATTGAGAAAAATGACATTAATTGTGGGTTAAATAGGTATTTAGGGAGAAAAATTAAAGTAATGGTAATAATTGAAAAATTATATAAAGTATCATTTTTGTGCAAAGTTCAAAATAATGAGAATCCTACCACCACCCCTGAAAAAATACATATATTTACCTCCAGGATATAGTATTTATTTTTGGAGGCAGGAAAGAGAGAGAACCCTTAAAAGCCTAAGAAAACTTATGAATGCTTTCGGTTTCTCCTAGAATGCCACACTTATCATATATTTAACTTTGAAGTTAATGTAAAACTTCTTGACTCACTAGATCAATTCACTTTCAATTTGTCTTTTCATCAAAATCTTTTTCTTTTCTTTCTTTTTTTTTTTTTGAGACAGAATTTTACTCTGTCTCCCTGGATAGAGTACAGTGGTGTCGTCGAAGCTTACTGCAACCTCAAACTCCTGGGCTCAAGTGATCCTCTTGCCTCAGCCTCCTGAGTAGCTGAGACTACAGGTGCCAGCTACAATGCCTGGCTAATTTTTTCTAATTTCAGTAGAGATGGGGTCTCGCTCTTGCTCAGGCTGTTCTCAAACTCCTGAGCTCAAGGGATCCTCCCACCTCGGCCTCCCAAAGTGCTAGGATTATAGGCGGGAGCCACCCTACTGGGCCCTTCATCAAATTCTTAGTAAGAATCTACTGTGTGTCAGGCAGCATCCCTGGTACTGGGATAAAATCTACATAGCATTTCCCTTCTTTCTCCCTCAAGCATGAAAATATCTGGTAAATTATTCCAGCTACACTTAAAATCTCAGGAATTTTCCAAAGGCTTTCATGTTTTAGGATGGTGACCAGTGTGGCCTTACCTGCCCGCCAGAGGACAGTACGCTGCTCGTAATTGGAGTTGAAGGCCTTTGAGAATGAATGGGACTCCTGCAAGCAGTCCAACAGCTTGAAGAGGTGCTGGGAAGACATATACTTATACATGCCCTGATCCTCCGTCTCTATGTGGATATCTGCATCCAGTGTGTCTTGCTAGAGGACAGAGGAGAGCTAAGTGAAGAAGATGGAGTGGTTTTGGGCATTGTGATTGCAGACAAAGGCAGTCATGACTTTCTAAAAGCGATCCTCTCTATAAGATACACTTCATTCCTCAACACCAGGAACTATTTCCACTGAGACTCTGCTCACTCGCCAGTGAAGGAACATACTGGGCTCCTGCAGGACGGCAGGCTCAACTGGCCAAAGTTTTGGTTTTATCAGTGCTGCCTTCATCGCATAAACAGGAGAGTGTGAGTGAGTGAGTGAGTGAGTGAGTGTGTGTGTGTGTGTGTGTGTGTGTGTGGCTCCAATTATTTCACTACAGGACTGAATTCTTCTCTTTTTATTTTATAAAGAAATTGAAAAATGAGAGAATCAAAATGCAATATATGTGATAAAAGATGTGAGTCTCAAACATACTAAAGACAAAAATTGGTAAGCAAAGCCCAAGTGGCATTTTTAGCCTCCAATCAGGTAATTACTGAACCAAATAAGCTCAAAATGACTGTGTTTGCAAACATGAAGGGAGGAGGGGGAGAAAAACCCAACACTTTAAAACATGTATGAAATGCTAGAAAATTTTATTGAACATGTTGCCTAAAATTTGAGACATAATTAGGGATTTTATATTTCTTGAGACTTCTAGAAATAGACCGATTCTCCTTATAAGCCAGAAGTTAAAAAAGGGAAGAATGTGCAATACTTCCCAAATTGACCTACAGATTCAACACAATCCTCATCAAAATCCCAGGTGATTTCTTTGCAGAAATCAATGAGCTAATCCTAAAATTCATATGGAAATGCAAGTGACAAAGAACAGACAAAATAATCTTGCATAAGAGGCATAAAGTTAGAGGACTTCCCAACTTCAAAACCTACTAAAAGGCTACAATAATCAGGAAAACATGGTACTATCATAAAGATAGACCTATAACAATGGAATAGAGAATCCAGAAATAAACCCTTATATTTATGGTCAAGTCATTTCCAACAAGAATGTTGGAAAACTCACTGGAGAAAGAAGAGACTTTATGACAAATGGTGCTGGGACAACTGGATATCACATGCAAAAGAAAGAAGTCGGACCTCCCTACCTCCCATCTCATACAAGAATGAACTAAAACACAGATCAAAGACCTAGATGTAAGAGCTAAAATTATGAAACTCTTCAAAGAAAAAATAGGCCTAAATCTTTGTGACTTTGAAATAGGCAATGCTTTCTTAGATTGGATACCAAAAGCACAAGTGACTAAAGAAAACTAGGCAGCTTGGACTTCATCAAAATTAAAAACTTCTGTGCTTCAAAGGACGCCATAAAGAAGCTGAAAAGACAACAGACAGAATGGGAGGAAACGGTTGCAAATCATATATCTGATAAGGGATTAGTATATCTACAATATATTAATGTAAGAACTCTTATAATTCAACAATAAAAAGATAAGTAACACAATTTTGAAATGGGCAAAGAATTTGAGTAGATATTTCCAAATATATGCAAATAACCAATAAGCACAAAGATGCTCAACATCATTAGTCATGGGAAAATGCAAATCAAAACCACAATGAGATACTACTTCACATCCACTAGAGTGTCTATAATAATAATTTTATAAAAGGACAACACCACCATTGGTGAGGATGTGGAGAAACTGGAACCTTCATACACTGCTAGTGGGAAACAGTCTGGCAGTTTCTCAAAGAGGCAGACCGAGTGTTACCACATGACCCAGCAATTCCACTCCTAGATATATGTCCACGAGACACATGTCCACACAAATGTTCGTAGCAGCATTATTCACAATAGCCAGACAGTGAAAATAACTCAAATGTCCATCAATTCATGAATGAATAAGTGAAATGTGGTACATCCATCAAACGGAATATTATTTATTAATAAAGAGGAATGAATAACTTTATGGACACATGCTATAAGGTAGATGAACCTAGAAAACATTATGCTAAATGAAAGAAGCCAGACACAAAAGCTCACATATTGTATGATTCCTTTTATATGAAACGTTCAGAATAGGCAAATCCATAGAGACCTAAGTAGATAAGTGGTTGCCAGGACCCAAAAGGAGCGGGGAACAGGGGGTGATTGCTAATGACTATAGCATTTATTTTGCAGTAATAAATATATTCTCAAATGAGACAGTGGTGATGTTTGCACAAATTGGTAAATATACTAAGACTGTTGATTTTTAAGTTTAAAAAATAAAAAACCCAAAAAGGACAGCTTATGGCTCACAGATGTATTTTGTTCAGCAATAATAAAATTTACATTAATTTCCCGTATTTAAAAGACAGATTTCCTATATGAAAAAAATCTCAATTCTGTCTCCTCTTGAAAAACTGGAATACCATTACAACTTAATCCACTCGGATGGCAACACACCCCTGGAGCTGGGAGGTGGCCGCTGCTTTGGCTGAGCTAGAGAGTTCTGGTTTACTGCAGTCCCTACCCAGCCTGTCTCAGTCACCCTGAATCTTTTGGCCCCCGAAGCACTGAGGTTTGCAATTCATGGTGTGGGATTACTGTCCAACTTCTGGACACTCAGTTCTGTTTTTGAGAATCTCTTATATATAGCTGCATATATTTAATACAAAACCGAAATGTGAAAATTTCTGAAGGAAAAACTTGTGTCTTTATGTACATATTTTCCCTCTCAGTTATTTATGGTTAAACCGTTTACCAATTATGGCAAACAGTTCCTGCGAAAACACTTTTTTCAAAGCACCAAGGCAGGGGGGTGGCATCAGAGCAGTGGTATGTTGGTTAACCAGCTCTCCGGGGACTAAAAAAATTGAAGCCCCAAGTTCTAGCGTTTGCTGATTTCTGTGACATAAATAACTTCCATCGAGGCCAATTTCAAGCTACCAAAACACTGTCACTGAATGTGGGGCTGAGAAGAGGTCAACGGGTAGGCTCTGGAAAGCAAGTGTGAGCTGAATCCAGCACACACTGCACTGGAGCCACCTCGCTCCTCGGCCTGCGGTTCTTACCTGGGCAGCAACCATGTGCTCTGCATCCTCCTTTTTGCTTGTCGCCGGGTAGAACACGATGTTGTCAATGGTCTGTATCAGTTCCAGCTGGACCACACACTTGATGAGGAGGCTGGCAAACAGTTTCTGATCTATATTAGATGATAAAGATTAACCCTAATAATGATTGACCCAATATTGTGTAAATATTCACCGAGCTCCTACTATGTGCCAGGCATGATTCCTGATAGCAATCAATAAAACCAGACAAAAAAAATCCCTGCTCCTATGGTGCTGACAGGCAATAAATAAAATATTTAACTATAAGATACAGTATGTCAAATAATGATGACATAAGGTAGAGACAGGGACATGAAATGTCATGGTGGCGTTGCAAGTTTAAATAAGCTGGTTAGAAAAGGTCTCTATGAAAATGTGGTATTTGAGTGAAGACCGGAAGAGGGTGAGGGACTCAGCTGTGCAGGTTCTGTGTCTGCAAGCACGTTTCTCTGCCGCCAGATGGGCCACTCCTATAGATCAGCTCTGGACTGAACCCTAACCACATGAGGTTCCTGCAGCAGCCAGCCTCTCTGAAAAGGCGAGAATCTCAGTTTCGGGCGGGCACACGAGTGGCTCTTCTAAGTTCTTAGTTTTGGGAACGCTTTCTGTCTACACTAATGGTAGCAGCGGCTTTCTGCATTTTCTACTTTTGTATCCCTTAAGAGTAGCCTTTTACTCCTTTTAGTGGTTAGCAACCTTTGACTAATTAATGATTCTTTATATCGAATTTTTCCCGTTCAAATTAGCAGTGTGGTTTCTGTCTACTGACTAGACTCTGACTCCAACCATCTTTGTGTTCCTGGGGGTGCAGGGTGGTCTCATGTCAAACACTTCCTAAGTGTTAACTCATTTGACTATTGCCAAAGTAGAGATTCCTTTCCCAACTTATTGTGATAGAAATGCTGAAAACAGTAAACAAAGGTTTTAGTGATAGAAATCAAGGAGGCCGAGCTGTCTTTAAGTTTTTCAAAGTTGTTTGTGAAATTACATAAACATATAACAATTCTCTATGCAGAATGTTTTAATTTTTTTTCTTTTGTTGAGACAGAGTCTCACTCTGTTGCCCTGAGTAGAGTGCCGTGGCATCAGCCTAGCTCATAGCAACCTCAAACTCCTGGGCTCAAGCCATCCTGTAGCCTCGGCCTCCTGAGTAGCTAGGACTATAGGCACATGCCACCACGCCCAGCTAATTTTTTCTATTTTTTTGTAGAGATGGGGTCTCGCTCTTGCTCAGGCTGGTCTCAAGCTCCTGAGCTCAAGTGATCCTCCCACCTTGGCCTCCCAGAGTGCTAGGATTATAGGCATGAGCCACCGTGCCTGGCCAGAATGTTTTAATTTTTTAAAAAATACAGTAGAGTTGCAGCAGATGTACATTCAACTTATACCAATTTGATGACAGCATTTTGGACCAAAAATAAAAGGGAAGAAAGGAAATGATACTAATGGTGCAAAGATTTTGCCTGCCTGAACTTATGCCCAGAAGGGAGGCTGAGCTGGGAGGCTGGGAGGAGCAAGTGCAATATTCCCTGGGGGAGCAGGAGGGCAGTCAAGTCCCAGGCACTTCTCAGAGTGCAGACATCTCGCTGTGCTGAGAGTGGTTCTCCTTTTGAAAGAAATGTACACTTGGCCTTCTCACACAAGCTAACCACTTTATCTGGAGCTGATGAAGAAAAAGAGATCATTCTATCACTGGACACTGGAGAGAAACTGGCTGTGCAGCAGTTACTGGAGACAGCGCGTCAGAACCAACATGGTGCCTCTTTAATGGATTTCAAGGGTGGCTACTTTTATTCCTTCTAAAGAAAATGGTTACCGCACACTGCTTTTGTCTAACGTGCTGCTTCAGAAGTTAACTTCAATGTTAACACCTACAGCCTGGCATGTTGAGGTCGGGGTGGGACTGCTATAAAGGCAAACAAAGGGGCACACAACTTTCAAAGGACCAGAATAACATTTTATAAGTTCTGATTCCTTAGTCTGCTAAAAGTGTGTCTGAATCCCAACTCTATCTACTACATATTGGCAAGTTATAGCATCTGTCTAAGCCCCAGTTCACTCAAAATGTAAAACAGTCCCTCTTCAAAGGCCAGTATTAATAGTAATATAAGGATTAAATGAGATCATGTACACGAAACACACAGTACAGTGCCTGGCACGTTACCACTGTTAAATGTATTTTTTAAAATGCTAGATAGTAAAACACACCATAAGCAACATTAAGAGACAAGGTGGTAGAAGTAATCTGAAACTTATATACAGAAAAAGGATTTTTAGTACATAAGGAACTCCTCTAAACCAATAAAGAAAGGACCAACAATAGATACCAAATGTTAAAAGATTACAGAATTCATAGACGAGAAGGTGGCTCTCAAATATATGAAAAACTGCTCAATTTCACTCATAAGAAAATTCCAAATTAAAATTACTCCAAAGTTACCAAATTTCATCTAAGTGCTCCCAAAGATCATGTAAACAGGCACAATCTTATCAGATGGCAATTTGGAAATATCTGTCAAAATAGCAAATGCACTTATTCACTGATCCCACGATTCTATTTCTAGGAACTTATTAAATAAACTCACAACTGACATGTGTATCAGGTTATTCAATGCAGTATTGTTTCTAACAGCAAAAGATTAGAAATATAAATGCTCATTAGTAGGGGCCCAATTAAGTAAATAAAGTTACATCTACATACTGGGATAACAGACAATAGTATAAAAAGAAGTGAAAGCTCCTTATGTACTGATTTTAAATGATTTCTAAGATACATTAAGTGAACAAAGAATAATGTGTAGCATTCCACAGTTTGTATAAAAAGGAAAGGAGAAGTCATATGTATTAGATATGTATGTATGTAAATGTATATGTGTATGCATTTGCTTGCACATGGATAAAATGACCCTGGAAAGGTACATGACAAGCTGGTAACACTGGCTGCCACAAGGAAGGGAACTGGTAGACCGAGGCCCAGGGGTAGAAGGTGGCTTATCATGTTTAGCCTTCTGTGCCTTCTGAATATTTGAATCAGGTAAATGTGTTACTTACTTAAAATAAATAAAAAAGTGGCCTTACTTGCATATGGTCTGCCCTTCCAGCTGTCATCTGTTGGGTTAGAGAGCTGGCTCTGGCCTCTTTCAGAGGCATTTTTATCTATGCTGCTTAAAGACTGGCGGTCCAGATCCACATCCTAAATGTAAACCAGAGAGAAATATAATGCTCACGTTTCTTCATTTTAAGTCAGTGCCTGGGCAGAGATGTGTCTGTTTTAACACAGCCAGCCCAGCCTGAATTTAAGAGCCTTGCTCAGCTCAAAGCAAAATTACACTTGGATGCTTAATGTAGCACTTCTTCAAGGCTGCATTGGAGAGATTAAGAATTTCAATTATTTCTCCCCCTATTAAAATTTCACATTTTCTTATTCCAACTCAAAGGACATTTCTCTATGTATTATGATTTAACAATAAATGTGACAAATTTTTAATGAGATCAAGTTAAAAAAATAAACAAGTAGTGCAGTAACTAGTTTTTAAAAAAGCTGATAGCAGAAGACAGAGTTAAGAAACAGAAAATGTTTAAATAACGTGCTTCATTTTTAAGTTGCTATGTCCCAAAGGCCTTTTAAAATCTAATGGCCTTAGAGTTACTTGGGAATAAAAGTTAATAATTCAATGTCCCCATGTAAACCAAAGTATTTTAAAGTGAGATTTGAATTAAAACCTCTTTAAGTAGTCTCATACAAAAAGTAAGAACTACCACTTCTTTGGTGGAGAGGAAAGCACCATTTATTTAGGAGGGCAAGAAACAAGGACGGTCACATCACAGCATTATTTGTAACAGTGAAACACTAGAACTGACCTGCGAGTCTAATAAGGGAGAATTAGTTAAAGAAATTATAACAACATGCATCAACTGAAAAGGCTATTCTCAAAGAATAGTTAAGAATATGGAAAAATACTCACAATGGTGTTAATAAACTGTGCCAACTGATCCCAAATTAACAAATATGTTAATGAACATATTATTTTTAGAGATTATAACTTTTTTAACTCACTTCTTATCAAGAAAGTATAAATTGTATAGGCTCATTATACTTTTTTTTTTTGAGACAGAATCTCACTGTGTTGCCCGGGCTAGAGTGCCGTGGCGTCAGCCTAGCTCACAGCAACCTCAAACTCCTGGGCTCAAGCGATCCTCCTGCCTCAGCCTCCCGAGTAGCTGGGACTACAGGCATACGCCACCATGCCTGGCTAATTTTTTTCTATATATTTTTAGTTGTCCAATTAATTTCTTTCTAATTTTAGTAGAGACGGGGTCTCGCTCTTGCTCAGGCTGGTCTCGAACTCCTGAGCTCAAACAATCCGCCCGCTTTGGCCTCCCAGAGAGCTAGGATTACAGGCGTGAGCCACCGTGCTCGGCTAATATATATATATTTTTTTAATCTTTTTTTGAGACATGGTCTTGCTGTTGCCCAGGCTGGAGTGCAGTGGCGTCATCATAGCTCACTGCAACCTCAAACTCCTGGGCTCAAGTGATCCTCCTGCCTCAGCCTCCTGAGTAGCACATCTTAGGTGTGCACCACCATGCCCAGTTGGTTTTTTCTATTTCTGGTATAGACAGCGTCTCGATATGTTGCTCAGGCTGTTAATCTTTTACTAAGGTATGAGAAGAAAGAAAAGACAAAGAAAAAGAAAAATCCTACCAAATGTTTTTCTGATGAATCTTCCTCCATTCCTACAGGTCTCCATGTCAGCAAACTTAAGGAAATGGAAGAGAAGGAAAATGTTCAATGTCAAAGGAAGCAGGAGGTTTATGATATCCACCAAATAAATTTTAATAATTGCATGAACACTTACACATGCGGGATAGTTGTTTTGAAAATATCCAACATACAGTTGCACGTTTCATCCCAAACATCAGGGCTGAATTTCTCTCCATTGGATATTACTAAGTTTTCTAAACAATTTGTACCTGATCGAGCCAATTGTTCATTATCTGCAAAATAAAGCAATACCTATCATTAAAGTTCTACTGCTGTTTTGATGCCAACCAGGTCCCAAATAGTTTACATTGTGAGGTGGAGATTGTAACAGGTCGGTTTGTAGGCTTTTCCTTTTTTTTTTATGAGACAGGGTCTTGTTTTCTTGCCCCAGATAGAGTCCAGTGCCATCATCATAGCTCTATTTTTTATAGAGATGGGGTCTCTATGTTGTTCAGGCTGGTCTCGAACTCCTGGCCTCAAGTAATCCTCTCACCATGGCCTCCCAAAGTTCTAAGATTACAGGCATGTTCCAACCCCAGCCTGTTTTTTTTGGGGGGGGTAGGCTTTTAATTAATGAAGCAATACTATAGACAGTATTAAAATTTTTATAGTTTAAGTAGGCTATGAAGAAGTAAAATTATTTACTTAAGAAGTAAAATTAGTTTTATCGCTAGCTATGAAGCATCTTGCTACTCTAATTAATTGGATCATATACGAAAAATGGGAAAATAATACGGAAAATATTAGACCATCCTTCTACTCAAACACTACATTTCCAATTTTTGCCATCTAAAAATCAATTGTTTTGTTATTTATTTTAAAACTGAGTCACTTTTTGAAAAATTTAACTAAATTTAGCTTTGCCCTAAGCAAAAATTATGTATGGAATCCAGGTCTGATGTGCTAGTTAGGAATTTTTCCTGATACACACTAAAATAAGCACATAACTATTCAAACAAAAAATTGTCCACTGATGAAGCTGTTGATCTTGACTACAACAGTACATTTTAAAAAGCATTTTACTATAGAAAATTTTAAACTTATACAAAAGTAGAAAGAATAGTGTAATGCACAAAGCTACATCTTTTTTTTTTTTTTTTGCTGCACTCCAAAAATACAAAAATAACTATTGTCTTAATCTTAAAGAAATGCTTTATAAACTGAGGGTGGGAGACTGTTTTCTAATTAAATTTAAAAATATACATTTTTACCAACTAAATTATATATTGTAGTCCTTTGTATTACGTCCATGCTTTTACATATTGAAAAAATTAACCTCTCATTAAGGACTATGTAAGACAAATGATGCCTAGAGAGTTAAAGAATACCTTGTTTTACACACCACTGCAATTGTGCAAACACATCAGAAAGAAGAACTTCATTCAAAGCTTCATAAAACTGGGTAAATACGTCACAAATAGCATAAAGTGCATGATTGCAGGTTGTTGTCATCCACTCAGATTTCTGGAGAAACAATAAAAAGATACTGCTTAAAAGCCATTCTCTTTGCAGTGAGATGGGCATTCTTGAACCCTATTAGCAAAGCTGTTCTGGAAAGCAATTTGGCGATAACGTATGAACAGTCTTAATAACGTTCATACCACTGACTCAGTAACAATACTTCCAAAAATCGACCCTAAAGAAATAATCATGAGATTTGTGAACAAAGGTTTACGAATAAAGATGGCATTTTATAAACTGTAAATACAGACATAAACAAAAGTCCAGCAGTATGGGCATTAACTTAAGTACAGACCTATGACAGAATAAACAGTTATTCAAAATGATACTTTAAAAAAAAGAATATAGATTATGCTAAAATTCATACCTTAAACCAAAAATTAAATATTAAAAATGATGCCATGAAATTACCAGAGGATATATAGAAACATATTTATAAAATCATTGAAAAGGGAAGAGTTGCTAAGCATGATTCCAAAAGTAGAAGCCAGAAAGGAAATAAAGTGATTGATTTGGTTACTTAAAGCTAAAATTTTCCAAAAATGAAAAGGAAATAAAGGCTGGGCGCGGTGGCTCACGCCTGTAATCCCAGCTCTCTGGGAGGCCGAGGCAGGCGGATTGTTTGAGCTCAGGAGTTCGAAACCAGCCTGAGCAAGAGCGAGAC